ATCCTCATCTTGAACCCCGCTTAGACTCCGGAGTCTTTAGTGCCTACCAGCGAATCTCGTGCAGGCGGAAGCAGGATCGTCTCGACATCAGGCGGACACAAAAAGGTCAAAAGACGCAGTTGCATCTGATGCTGATCCCTTTACGGAAGCAGGCCCTGCCAATCAAACAGTTGCATATGCGCGTCGAGGCTGGACCCGCAGTCGCTTTTTATTGACCGCTTTCTCTCACCTTCTAATGAGGACTGGTACATAAGAGGGTTTCGGATGCTTCCCGCGATGGATTTGAGGGCGAGCTGAGTCGTACGACGAGATGGAAGGGCATGCGATTGAAGTCATTAGGGAGTAGTGACGTCGGATGCGACTCATAGAAGACTTGAGATCTCGATGTGGAAAGCAGGAAAGACAGGAAGTTGAGGCGGCTCTTGCACGCTAAGAGACCCCCACATGCGACAAGCCAATCAGAATAGTCCGATATAGCTTTGGAGCCGGGGATGGCTGCAGGGATCCCGACATGCTTCAATACATCTTTTTGTACAAAATGGAGAGCAATTGGGGGCGGAATTGGGCATGGTGCTGGCCGTATGCAGTTTTAAAACACCATTTTGTGACTCTGCCGTCAGTTGGCTGCAAACAGTTTGTGAAGAAGTTTGGAGTGTGTACGAAGGTGGCGTCGGTTAAGATCGGCGCGTGCACGAGCGACCGGAACCAACTTTCTGCATCGAACTTTGACCACCGCCCACTCTTACCCACTCTTTCCCACTGATAAAACCTTTGTGCCGCTTCTTCGTCCCTCTTTCACATTCCTCAACTTCCTCTCGTGCCACCACCTATTATTTTTCTCTACTTTCAGACTTACTTGTTCATACCTGGGGCCTCTTTCAGGTCAAGCGCAGACAAAAGCTCATACTCACCACAGCAGCACCCTCGAGAGCTAGTTTTGTTGCGTGTTGGCGTAACCGTAAGATCTATACCAGACTATAGGATATGTTTCTCACCAAGACAAGAACTCCCAAAGATCCAAACAAGTTTCCAACCGTCCAGCTCTTTCTACTTGGTGAGTCCTTTTTCTCGCTGTCTCGAGCCACCCACATGTTCCGACCCTTCTTCCCGGAACGCCAAGCTCTCAGCCATCAACTGACCCGTATCACAGCACTCGTTCGAGTTGCAGAGCCAATTGCCCTTACTTCTATCTTTCCCTACGCCTGGAAACTTGTCCTTCATTACAATGTCACCACCGAGTCGAACGCCGCCTTCTATGCTGGCATCCTCATTTCCGCCTTCTCGCTCGCCGAAGCATGCACAGGCATATACTGGGGTGGTCTTTCCGATCGGATAGGTCGTAAGCCCGTTCTACTCATGGGTTGCACTGGTACCATTCTCTCCCTCTGCATCGTTGGTCTTGCTCCAAACTTCTGGCTTGCTCTCCTGGGCAGAATTCTCGGAGGCGTATTAAACGGCAATATGGGCGTCATACAGACAATGGTTGGCGAATTGGTCACGAGGCCTGAACACGAGCGTAAGTCGGCTCACTCCACTTTCACCAGTTGTCTTTGCTGATCCTGTTCCAGCTCGAGCCTACGCAGTAATGCCATTTGTATGGAGTGTCGGAACAATCATAGGACGTGAGCTCCCCTCCATCTCCTCTCATATTTCTGAACGTATGCTGACCTCCCCAAAGCCTCCATTGGAGGCTACTTTGCAAATCCATCTGAAAATTTTCCTTCTGTTTTTCCTCCTTCTAGTCTCTTCGCAAAGTTCCCATATTTGCTTCCAAATTTGCTCTGCGCTCTTCTGCTCGTTGTTGCTATCATCGCCGGTTACCTTCTACTTGAAGAGACTCACCCAGACATGCAGCCGTGGAGTACGCAGGAAGACCTTAATCGTACAGCAGCGGAGACGCCATTACTGCCAGCTGCGGGAGCCACTGCCCATGCAGCAGCAAATCTGACTGCTGAATCGTACGGTACATTCGATGCCGTGGACGTTCAGAGAGATGAACTTTGGCGCGTCAAATCCAACGGCGAGTGGATTGAGAATTCCCCGCCAAACGAGAAGGTCATCACCAAATCAGTGGCCATGTTCGTCGTTGCACTTGGTATCTTTACGTACCATTCTGTAAGTCGTCTACCCTTGCCTTACGCGTGCAGATCAACGCTGACGAGGTACCGAGATGACGTACGACCACCTCCTACCAATCTTCTTCCAAGACAAGCGCATCGATGACGTTTCCGCCTTCGGTATGACGCCGTCTTCTTTCGCTGGTGGACTCGGCCTCAAGACCCAGGATGTTGGCATCATAATGTCCTTCAACGGCGTCATCGCCCTCCTCGTCCAAGCCGTCGTCTTTCCGCTCACGGCTTCCTGGTTCGGCGTCTGGCATCTGCTGATCTTCGTCACGATCGGTCACCCCATCGCTTACTTCATCGTCCCATATCTTGCGGTTCTACCAGAGAACTGGCTGTACCCGGCCATCTACACCTGCCTGGCTATCCGCAACTTCTTCTCTATCCTGGCATACCCTCTCCTCCTCATTATGATCAAGGAGTCCGCGCCGTCAGCGAACCATCTGGGCAAAATCAATGGACTTGCCGCGAGTACTGGCGCCGCGTGCCGAACCGTCGCTAGTCCCATCGCTGGTCTTCTATACGGATTAGGCATCGAAATCCGCTTTACGCCTCTGGCTTGGTGGGCTAGCTGTCTCGTGGCGGTTGTGGGCGCTCTTCAGGTTCCTTTCCTCAAGCGTGAAAATAGAAATGCCAATACCCAAGTCCGGACTGCTGCACGTTGCTGTTTGATCAGGGATAATGTGCCGAAGAACGACGTTGTGCATATCACGGTTGAGAATGTGGAGGGTGAAGAGGTTTAGAGAAGATGACGATGTTTGCTTAGTAGAGCTGGTGAAGAGGTTAGAGGGAGATGGTCTGCCATACGTCCAAGGCAATTATGAGCTAAAAGCAGAGTTCGGTTGGGCAGAGACAATTTTTCATGAGAGGTTTCGCGTTACGTGGACACAAATTCTGGACAAGTACACACAAAAGGGCACGGAATCGGCGTTTCAGGAAAATGGGAGGCGCATTTGATACCCAGACATAGAAGCATGAGTATTTTCTGGGGCGGCGTTCATGCGAGTTGCTGTGGTTTGGGAGAAAATGTTCGAGCTCCCGGCCAGTAATAAGAAGCTCGGAAGGGCGATGAAGACAATCGGGGGATTTACGAATACGGCACATGTATGCATTGGCATTCGCTATGATAGACTAAAAAAAATGATAGATAACCTCTCATTTGGTTCCATTATTGGGATGTGAATTGTTCGAGCTTTGCTATATCCAGCGCTATATCGAATGCCACCCACGCACTCAAAAGAATGGGGGATTCTGTAAACACGATATTTGTTTAAAGATTGTCCTCATATCTTTTAACTCTTCGCAGTTCCGTGTCGAGCATGCTCCTTGCTTTAGCTAAGTACAGGGTTTCACATTGATTGAAAATCCACCTTAAATTATAACGTAAGTTACGTTCTACTTTATATTTCTAACCGAATTCAAATATTTCTGTCTAGATACCTGGATCCAGTTCTATAAGCCTTTGTCTAGTGATTATTATAGGAAGGGTGTGTTAAAAGAGAGCCTTGGTGTCTCGTTAGAGTGGAGGAAATGAAGTTTGAGAATAGTGGGGAGATGAGGTATGGTTAGGGTCTACGTAGAGGGTTAAAATAATCGAGATGATGAGTAAGATAGCTTGAATTACAACCGATACGATAAGGCTGTGGACTAAAATGGTGGGGAGTCTAGATGCGATGGGTGTTACAAGGAACCGGAGAGGATGGAGAGGGGATGGGCAAGGTGGTTGATGGCAGAAATAAGGAAGGTGAGTAAAACAGTTGAGCAGGGAAAGCGATAGAGACGTAGACGAGAGACGGTACTAGGATAGGCTAGATGGTAGAGAGGTTTTTGTAGAGAGGGTTCAGGGTTGAAAGTGAGAGACGGGTAAGTGATAGAGGGTATGGAGTGCGCATCTAGATAAGCATGAGAGCGGGAATGGTACAGCGAGTGACATATTCATGCGAGATCTGGACGGGACCGGACTGGATGGGGCGGAAGTTAATCTAGTACAGCGGAATAAAAGCATGCATTGCGCAAATGAACCGTCCACGACTAGATCTACCGGGCTGAAAATACAAATCCCTTAGCGAACTGGGTCCGCAAATTTCCCAAGTCGTATGAAGGTCAGGCGGAGAATCTGAAAATTATCGGGGAGGCTATGAAGAGGGAAGGGTGGGAAGAAGCAACGCACGAGGAAGCATGGAAATGTGGGACTTGAAAAGGGAGTCGAGGAGAGTAACGAGATCAGAATTTAGATATCTAAACTTTTGGGGGGACCCGGGGGGGAGTTTCTTGATAGGAGGCATGCTCCCTAATACCCAACTCTTTCATCCAGTATAATGTACTTCGTACTCCGTAGAACACTCTAAATTAGAACTAGTAGCTTAGTAATACAAAGAAATTTAGTGACGATATATCAATATGTGCCTTTAAGGAACGGGGAGCATAGAAGAAACAATGTAAAAGATCTCATTGAGGCATAGATGGTGACATGAGGGGGTTACCTGAATGGAGGATTAGGAGAGATAGCAGTGCGACTTCTGTATCGAGTTCAATTTAGAGGCAGTAGAGAGGTTGGAAACAGTTAAGCTAACGGAGTATAAAAAGAAAAAGCTGCACAGTCTTTACATCCACGAATCGAAGAGTGCATTGAATGACGCAGAAGTTAGTAGAATAGTTGGATAAAGGGAGAGCAGACAGGTAGCCAGCGATAATTATTTGCAGGCATATATATATCAGAATAAAAATAATATCTCCCCATACCCACCCGCATACCAGTTCTTTGCACCGCTCATCACTACCACACCGCTATTCCTGCTCTTCCTTCTTCTCTCATTACCTTTCTCTTCACCGACCTATCTCCACTTAAATAGTGAGGGGAAAGGCCAAAAAGAAAAATGGTTCAAACCAGATTCGAACTAGCGACCTCAGCATTTCGTAAGTTACTAGTGCCGCGCTCTACCCCTGAGCTATTGAAGCTATGTTAATTGTTTTGATGGGACAGAATCACTTTGTATATAGCCGTACGAAATGAGGGGTCGAAAAGAAAGGAAACGGTGATATGGGGAGTAAAGTTTGCAGGAAGAAATGGTGCGCCCAGGGTCGGTGAAGTTGGGAAGGGGGGTTCCTGCGCTCCCTGGCGGAGTGACTAAGCTGAATCAGAAGGAAGCCTGACAAGACGTCACAATGCTGTCAACATAATTGAATAACGTGAAATAGTTCGACTAGACACATACTATTGGCATTAACTGCAGTTCAACACCGATACAAGACATTTTCGAACGATGCTCATCCCTCCATACACGAAACGCGATACATTTTCTTTACCGAAAGGCTGAAAACGATGCATGCTTTCCTTTTTTTTGGGTAAAACCTCATGTTTTGTCAAAACACTGTTCCACGCCCTTTCCACGAATTCCGCACGTTACTGGTCCGCGACCTGCTTGGGTGAGATGATTGGTTGCTTAGGAGCAAGTGCCAAAGCCAGACTGGCATCCATTGGAGCAGTGGTCTACCGTACTGCCACACCCTTTCGACTAGTTAGTATGAAGGCATTACGAGAGGTTTGAGTTGTACTTACAGCCATACTGCGAGCAGCAGTTCCCGAACTCGGATCCTTGGCATGTCGCTCCATTGCTGCCGCATTTACCGTCAGTGGAGACCTGGCCAGTGGCTGTAGGAGCAGGGGCAGAGGTGCCACTGGTACCACAAGCTGGGACATGTCAGCGATTGTCCAGGAGGAATGCTAAAGTATTTACTTACTGCCAAACTCCGGTTGGCAACCAGAACCGCAATAATCGCTAGTAGAACCGCTGAATTCCAGGTCAGAGATGTGTCCCGAGTCGCGTATTGAGGTGTACTTACCACCAACCGGCGGGCGAGCAACAGTTGCCGAATTCGCTCCCTTGGCAGGTGCTGCACAATGTTCACCAATGATCAGGGCTCAATTTTTTTTTATCTCGGGGGTTCCGTGGGTTAACTTACTATCCGTTGGTACCACCGCAGGTGGCGTCGTTGGTGATTATCTTAGTACCAGTGGGCGCAGGTGCGGTCGCGGTCGCAGAGGGCTTGAAAGTGGTGTTAGACGAAGTGTTTTAATTAAACTGGTATAGAATTTTAGAAGACAATAAAGCTCATCACTGGACTATGGGTCCAGCGGTTGCTTAGGAAGAGACGCTTACAGTAGATGTGGAGATAGAACCACCACCCTCGGAGGTGCGGTACCAGTTCTCTTGAGGGTCCCCGAGACACTCGCCGACAGTCACGGCCTTGTAGCCAAGCTCAGTGAGGGTCGAGAGCATGTACTCTGTTAGGTTGAAGGCGGTCTGCTGATGAATGTCGTGGGCAATGGAGAGCCATTGGGCATTGGAGGAGGTAGCGCCCCCGGCAGTGATGTTACCCTTGAACCAGTCCTTGGATCTCTGGATCTCATCTGCCGCATCCTGGTTGTAGTCATCGGTGTCGACATCGAAATAGGTGACGTGGTAGCCAAGATCCTTCATGTCCTGCTCGCATCCTGATTCAGCGGTGCAGCTGCTGTATGGCGGGCGCATGTAGGTGGGGAAGAATCCAACGATGTTGCGGATGGCCATCTCGTTCTTGTACATCTGGTTCCTTCGGTCGACGGCAGAGACAGCACTCAAGTCTAAGTGCGTCCAGGTATGGGAGGCAATCTGGTGACCCTCGGTGCGCATGCGCTGGATGTCGGAGCTGTGGGAGCTAGTAGTGTCGATCTGTCCCTTGTTGATGTTGTTGCCCGTGATGAAAAAGGTGGCTTTGGCATTGTAACTCTTGAAGACGTCCAAGATGTGGGACGTGGTTCCATCCAATGGGCCATCGTCGTATGTGATGGCTACAGTACCAGGATTGACACAGTTGTAGATACCAGCTCCCCCATAGGGCACCGAACCAAGGGCTGTACGAGCTACGGATGAAGTGTTGGTACCAGCAGGAGTTACATTCTCTGGACATGCTGGACCGTATTGATAGTTGCAACCTGGGGAGTAGCAGTAGTCCCCGCCTTGTCCGCACCAGCCTGAGCCTGAGCAGCAATAGCCCTCTGCGCACCTGAAAAATGATTAACTGGGGTTACTGATACTCCTAAAGATGATGGAGCTTACGATCCAAAGCCTTCACCACACTGTCCGTCTGTGATCCCCTGACGAGGCGCCAGATTTCCACGCTTTACATGGTCGATTTCCGCACCCTGGACTCTGGCTCTGATGTTGGCAAACATGTCCCTGGCCTTCAAATCTTTGGGGTTGAGTCCGACAATCTTTGGAATCCCAGCACCTCCATGAGCGTTAACAAGGGGAGCAACGGCCGCGGCGGCCGCGAGGGCAGTCGAGAAGTGCATAGCGTCCGCTATGTATTATTATATGATTACTACTTTTGGGTGAGGTTGATATAAAGCAAGCGAATGACTGGTGTTGACCGAAACCAACACACTGGATAGCCTTTGAAGAGCAAAGAAAGCGAATGACACGCCACACGAAGAGGCAATTAGAGTACGGTTTTGAGGGGGGGAGGGGTGGAGGAAGAAGGTTTTACGAGGAGGCAAGGCAGAGGATTTAAAAGCTGCTTAAGGATCTACGGGGCGGGCATGCAATCCTGGAAACGAGTTACTATAGTTGACTGAAACGCCCCTAGGCCAGCAGATGCAGAGACGGCGTTCAGCCATGTCCAGGGTGGTGCATCTTCACTTCACGGCGCCCAAAAGCTTCCAGTCGTTGCCCTTTTGCGAATCCTGCTCACTTGGGACAAGCATGTACCGAGGAGTAAGGCTTACCATTGGAGGATTTCGGGCTTCAGTGTAAGATGGAGCATGGGGCGCGTCGGACATGCAGGAACGCTTAACTCAAGCACACACCAGATACGGCTTACGTTCCCGTTGTCGTCCGGAAATGGAGAGGCGTCCTCGACTCGAAAGGGCGTTCTTGTCCAGCAAAGTCCATGACTTGAACATCTTGCCTTGATTTCTCCAATCCTTCTCTAGGAAATGCGACGTGATGGGTGGAGGTAGTGTTGTTCTGGTCGAAACAGCCGTCGACTGAAAACGCTACTCACCACTCGATGCTCCTCGGCGCCGTCATTACTATGCATGCGAACCCGAATAGCAATACTGCTCTATCAATTAGAAGTCAGAGGACAGCTTTGTTGCTAGCGCCGTGCGGGATCATTATCGCCGCTCAACGACGGGAGCGTGGCCGGCGTGACGAGCAGCGTGGTCAATGTAACCAGTGCTGAAGTCGGAGGCTAACGATGATAGGCGGAGGACTTACTGTGGTATCCGGCATATATATTGTATATTGTCGGTGCGCTACTGGGGACCCTAGCGGTACAAATTCACCAATCAGTAAAAGGGAGAAAAAAGACTGAGCGGTGTTGTCAGCAAATCTCTATGCACTGGTTGGTGTATTTAATTTTGTGGCGTTACACGTGCCATACGGAACGCACTGACAATGTACAAAACTTTTGCCTGATACCACAGTACAGGTGGAGAGGTCAGTGCCGAGTTTTCACCATGACTTTTAACGATGCTTGTATTCTGCAGATGTGAGTTGTGGTAGATCCTCAGTCATCAACAGCCTATCCCCAAACCCCAACGACATGTCTTGCGCCGCATAGTTCCAATTATACTCGCCTACTAACACCCAAAACCGCATTTAGACGACTGTGTTATTTCGTACAACCTCTCGCATAAAGATTGGATCAAGGTTGAGAATGCAACACCTCACTAAAAAGGACGACTTTCAGGGTGTGCCCCTGTCTAGGGCCCGTCACAGCCGAAGGCGCACAGGACCCCAGTGCGCGTAACCATTCTCCGGGTGTTTTGGAGCAGTTTGTGCTCCGAGGTGACGGCCCGATGTTTTGGAAACCGAAGATATTGTAATTTGCATGCGGTTGCTGCGCCATCACGCCCAACAGGCACGCGCACTCCCCTGTTCTCTGAGACTGTCGCTGCTGATGTTGATGTCAGGTCATGAAATCCAGGACGCTGACCGGTGCGGAGAATCATGCAAGTAACGTAAAAAATCGATAAATCTCCTCAGCACATTGACAGCACATCTCGTATCCCTCCTCTTGGCAGACATGATGGGCTGACAACAAACTCTTAAAACCGCCCTAACTCCTCTGCTCCAGGATTCACCTGGCACCTGTCGAAAGCGAGCAATTTCTCGCGACCCTCTTTTCATCAGAAGTTCAGGTTTAGAAAACTGCACTTTTGTGTATGCAGAAAAAGGGATGAGGCAAACTTAAAGCCATCAGCCAGCGTGCCGCCGCCACCTATTTTAAGCAACGTAATCGCCCGTCGTTAATTTTAGGAGCCAAGCTCTCGTGCCGACAAGGCGGATGCATTCGGACAATCTCTGATCCCTCTCAATTTCCTTGTCAGATTTTCACTCTAGTTCATACGGCATTACTCGACGCCCTAAAGGCACGGGGTGTCTAGCTGCTTCAGGCTCCGCGTCAATCAGATAAGTCTCTATACTGACGAAGCCCGCGTTGTTTTGTCACCTTGCTTCTCCTTCGTCGCACCGCGTCGGATTCGGGTCAACTTGAGGATCGCAATATAGAAACCGCTCCCGATCATGACGATTTGAAGTTTGAAAATTTTGGACATTGGAATTTTTGATAGTTAGAAATTAATGATAAACCTGATCAGCACTCTCATTACTTTCTGGTGATATACCCGTTCCGTCCCGCCATCCCATTGTTAACCGCCATTGCAAGCGCCGAAATATCCAGGTTTTGCGCGACAGAGGCGGGTTTTTCGAAGGGAAAGATGACTGGTTTGTCTCGTATGCCTATTGAGTCCACATACAGCACGTTCGGAAAAGATTCCGGTGTGAAGGAGTTGTAAGCGTTGCTGATCAGGTCGTCGAAGACGGATACACCTAGATTCATGATAGCCTTGTCGAAGTTCAATACATCTTCTGGCTGTTGTGTCAGGGTCCATGAGAGAATGTGGAACTTGT